GGCAACCCACAAAAACGTGTTACTCGCTGGGACTCACCGCGGTTGGTGCACTTGACGACGAGGCTGAGAGGTTGAGGCTCAGGAAAGGCACCACTTGAGGCATTTTCTTCTGTCCTTAGAGACACACCTACAAAGTACACTCTGGCCGGTTGTCAAATTCTCTTAAAAATTGTTGTGTCTGGTCAGTTCCACCAGAAGACGACGGCCGATTCCTCTTGACCAGCTGTAGATTGGCTTTACTGGAAGATTGATGCTGACGCTGTTTCCGAGGCAACCTTCTTTGATTCCGGTAAAAAGGTTCGAAGCTTTCGTCCGTGACATGACGAATATCATCAGACGAAGGTATCATCGTTACAACAAAATCCAAGCTAATGAGTCAAGAAAGCTTGAATTCTTTTGTCACGATGATACCTTTGTCTGATGATGTTCGTCATGTGACGGGCGAAAGCTTCGCACCATTTCACCGGAATCGAAGGAGATTGCTTTGGAAACAGCGTCAGCATGAATGTTCCAGTAAAGCCAATCGACAGCTGGCCATTGGCTTCTCGTGGACTCGACCTTGGAATCACTTCACCCAACACTTTCACTCGAAATGGAAGTAAGCACAACAATTATGAAACAAGAGATTCCTCAAAATCAAACTTTTTTTCTCTTAATAAGCATACGTTTATGAGGCTTTCGCATCAACTTTTGGTTAAACTGACCTAAATAGACAGTCCGGCGCTCGAGAACCCGGTTCTTCACCACCTGAATTAGTAGCTTCCGTACGAAGAAAACTTGTCTCCGATCATTGTGGGACTAGAGATGAGATTAGAGGCTCCCTGCGTTCACACAATCGCTAGGCTTCAGAATGGATGGACCGAAATGTGGACGAGCAGTCCCAAGTCCGAAATCCCTTGAGTCTCGTGAGAAAGAGGAACGAGAGCCAGCCTTTGAATATTCCCTCCCAGCATCCTGAACCGCAGATCACCTCGGGATGGAATTCGATCTTCTTCATCGAAAAGACAGACGAACGACTCAGAAGACGTTGCTGGTGAAGAGGCCAGTCTCACAATTTGGTCGGCAACTCCTCGAGTTGTTCGGTTCTGTTTCACTTTCGTCAGTCTTTCCCTTCTGAATGTCCACAGGTTCTGATTGCAGAAGTTGTTCGTCTGATCGCTTTTCACATCCTTCAGCATAATCTTGTTCTGGTGGCCGGATTCAGGCCTCACAATCGGCCACTTTCCCCGTCGCAAACTCATGCCAAGCCTAACCTCCTCTTTTCCCACTTTGACTCCACCAGCAAGTCGCAGCTTCTCACAAACACCCCCACTTTGAGGTCATTTTGACCTCCTGAGGCCTCGATGTCAAAAGTGACTAAATCATCTTCTTCTGTAGGTCATCTCCCAACAAACTAATAATCATGAACCGATCTTCATACCGCTGGATCATCGGTGGGAAAACCTTACTTGTCGAGACAGTTGTGGAAGCCTTAACGACTGAGCAGAACGAGAGGCTCAAGGGAATGAACTCTTCACAATTATGTCTCGTAGTGATGACCCGATCTCGAGATTGCCCATTGTCCTGGTTATAAATGCTCGTGAGGCATTGGCTATTGGGGCTGAGAAGATGGTACAGAGTATGAGATGTATTCACTCTATTTCCCACAATAATATGAGTAAAGCTGACGTTTCCATTACATTCAGCATAGCCTCGCTTTCCCGAAAGTCTTTCTCATTCAGCTTTGACTGCAGCTTCGATCACGCATCGGTCTTATCAACACCCCCAGCGGGAGTCGAACCGTGACGGTGCAGTATGTGAGCTTGACCGGTTAACCAATCGGCCACACTCTGCGATTGGCAGGACAGGTGGGAATTTCATCGAAGATCAAGCATTTTCCCATATCACATTCTTTGGCGGGATTATCGATGAAGCAAACGTATTTTTGTTATAACAATCGACTACGTTACTTATTTTTCTTATTTAAGTAGAGTTTCGAGACTACCAGTAAATCAGTAATATGAGATGTATCCACCCAATTTCGTTTAAGGTGATGAAGGACTGGTGGTAGAATCTTCCCACAATGATTTGGGTAGCGCTGACGCTTCAATTGAATTTTGCATAGCCTTGCTTTTCCCAAAATTGTTATCATCCAGACTGACGTGGACTACAGTTTCAACCTCGTCTGGGCCTTATCAACACCCTCAGTGGGACTCGAACCATGACAGTGCAGCGCGTAATCTCGACACACGCCCTTGGGTCAGAGGGCAGAGGCGAATTTAAGGGAATGCCAGACATTCTGCCATATCACATTCTTTGATGGTTCTATTTGCTATGACAATCGACTAGATTACTTATTTTTT